AAGGAATTTTACAAATTACAGTTTTAAATAAAATTGCTTAAATACATCAAGATTAAATCTTTAACAGAAACAAAGTAACGTAACGTTTTATCTTGTCTTGTCAAAACGGAACGTTAAAGTTGTCTTCTGTCGTCAACGTGAACAAGTGGTGTATTTCATCATTATTTCAGATATTCTCTAAAATTACTAAATAAATAACTAATAAAACACACACAAGGTAGTAAAACAAACCGCGCAACGGTTTCGTTATGATAGAATGTTGAGAAATTTATATGGTATAGGTTATGAATTATAAAATTGTTTCAGATGCCTCTTTCGTGTCGATTTTACCAAGAAAAATATCCGGAGGTGGAAGATGTCGTTATGGTTAACGTGAGAAGTATCGCGGAGATGGGCGCGTACGTCCACCTGCTGGAATACAACAATATTGAGGGCATGATCTTGTTGTCTGAGTTGTCGAGACGTCGTATCAGATCTATCAACAAATTGATCAGAGTTGGCAAGACTGAGCCTGTAGTTGTCATCAGAGTTGACAAAGAAAAAGGTTAGTTACAGATTATGATACTATTTCAGGAAACTGCAAAGTTGCATACAACTTATACTACCTATGCGTTAGCGGCGTCACTTTCCCACATAAGTAGCTGAAACTCTGCCCTTAAGGTACTAACTAACCTGAAGATTTCAATCATTCGAGATATTCATGTAAATAATACTTACAATTACGTTGAATCTACTTACATTAACTAAATTTTACTAGTACTAGACCAATGAAAGCCAGATCATTTTGTTTGATTAAAGATATTCACCTCAATTTTACATGAATATTGGAGAAATTAATGAATTGAAATAAATTACTTGTGTATCTAATAACTATTATTTGTTATATTTGTGTTCTTTTTAACAAATAATATATAACATTATTTCTCTTTTCCCAGGTTACATAGACTTGTCAAAACGTCGTGTTTCTGCGGAAGACATAGACAAATGTACAGAGAGGTATGCTAAAGCCAAAGCAGTGAACTCTATCCTGCGTCACGTTGCCGAACTCCTTCATTATGAGAGCTCAGAACAGTTGGAGGAGCTTTACAAGAGGACAGCTTGGCTCTTTGAAGAGAAATACAAGAAGAAGGCTTCCGCTTACGATTTCTTTAAACAGGCTGCTGTGTAAGTATGGAATATCTACGAATTTTGGTTTTTTTTTGTGTTTAATTTCTTTTGAGAAGCTTAATTCTAGCTCTACAAACAATAAAAAATTGATTCATTTATTCCATTCTGGTTTTATAAAGTCTAAAACTAGGTATATTCCAAGTTTATGTGTCAAAAAAAATATAGCCATCACATACAATCCCTATATTGTATTTTAACTACAATCCCTATTTTGTATATATGTTTGGTACCCAATTTACCATTTTTAATATGATATAAGTATATTAATTCTTTATCATTATTTCATCAAGCACAGTTTCATTTGGCCAAAAAGTAGTAAATTATAACTGAGAAATAAGCATTTTATTGATTACTTCTTTTAACTTACAGCGACCCCTCAGTATTAAACGAGTGTGGTCTTGACGAGAAGACAAAGGAAGTGCTCCTTGCCAACATAAAGAGGAAGCTGACGTCACAAGCAGTGAAGATCCGTGCAGACATTGAATGTGCATGCTACGGATATGAAGGCATTGATGCTGTCCGTGCTGCGCTGAAGGCTGGACTAGCGCTGTCAACTGTAGATCTACCCATCAAGATTAATTTGATTGCCCCACCTTTGTATGGTAAGTACACTTACAATCTTGGGTTTTATTAAGCTTACAAAGCAATTAACACATTCAGTGCCCCCGACGGCACTGAATGTGTTAATAGTCACAAATATTCTTTGATCTTTGATATCAAATAAAATTTTATTATGTGCCATGCCACAGATAGCATAGGATGTCACTAAAATACTTAACCAGTTCTTCTTCATCTGTCATCTGCATAAATAAGTTATCTATGTGTATGCTGTACAATCTGTGTGACATAAAAAATATATTTTATAATAGTAGATACATAATAATATTTACAGAACAAAGAAAATAAAAATAACTATTATTATTTCCAATGAGTACTTAGTCTTGATAGCTTTAAAGACGCGAATAATCTACAATGACTTTTACTCATATCATTAGTTGTAGTATTATGTCCCATATATGTCATTATGGAAGATAGTGAATTCATTACTAAACATATTAAATTTTACATTTCAGTAATGACCACATCCACGCCGGAGAAAGCAGACGGTCTCAAAGCCCTTCAGGATGCAATCGACAAAATTAAAGAGACCATTGACGCTGCCGGCGGCGTCTTCAATGTGCAAATGGCGGTAAGTAACCTTAAAGTCGAGTTTAATCTGAATATGGAATAATGGAAAACATACAACACGTAGATATCTGAACCTTTTCACTCGCTTAAGCACAAAGAAGCTGGCAAAACCGTAAAGCCATTATGCAGAGAAGGATAATCATAGCCCTCGAACGTCATAAGGAATTTGTACCTTGTAGGATTGTCAGTAAAAAAATATACAGTATGTATATTTGAATGAGGGTCTTATTTAAACCCCTTCGGCCTTATTACAAAACAAGGTTTTACTTTAGTCTACGACTAAACCATTGAACCAGTTTTCGTATTTCGAATTGAAGGTAGATGACAATAAGATTCAAAATTCAAAACCCGACTCAATGGTTTAAACCTGGACTAAAGATAAACCTTGTTTTGTAATAAGGGGGCTTATAGTTTATGCATAGACTTCACCAATAAACATACAATAAAAAACCCTGATAAATGACGAACAAAACCGTTCCAAAAAAGTCGTAAAAATTTCGCTATATATAGTTTTTGCGTTGTCTTGCTGGGCCCATATTGTTTATAATATTATGGTTAAAATTTTAAAAATATTATTCTTTTCAACTGATCATTATTATAATTACTAGCCCAATCAATCCTATTTATAAAATAAAATGTTCGTGTAACAGCCTAAGGTGGTGACGGCGACTGACGAGGCTGAGCTCGCGCGGCAGATGGAGCGTGCCGAGGCTGAGAACGCAGAGGTCGCTGGAGACTCCGCCGAGGAAGACGAGGATCAGGGTATGATCATACTTCTGCTTACCTTTATATAGCAGTAGGTTTCTTGGTGGTATTAATTCCTGAGGTTTCCCAAGGTTTGAAGAGAGGAATAACTTTTGCTGCCTTTGCGGAGGAAAAGTCTTCAAATGACTTCTCTTGACCAGGCAAGGCAGGCTCTATGGCAAGACGGAGTGTCAGACTCTTACTGACTAAAAGCCCCATCGTTCCTTCTCCTGCTCCGTGCCGACACCGCGGTAGCTGATTGCGCTTGGCCCGCAACCCTTCCGATTTTTTCCGCCCTGGGGTTAACACATTCAGTGCCCCCGACGCGTATGTGCGTTTCCTTACGCTACTCTGTGTGCCCTCGACGCACAGGTGCGTTCAATACATTAATGTATAACACTGAATGTGTTAAGCGAATGGGAGTGTTGTACACTTACTGGCTAAAATCCACCCTTTTCCTTCTTCTGCATCAGCCGGTTACCTAATACCTTCTTAAAACTTATCTTAACAATTACGAAAACAACTCAACTTCCGATGGTATCTTCCGAGAGTTATATTGGTTTCCGAAAGGCCGATCAATGTTAAAATCAATTCAATCTCTTGTTAAGTCATCTGATTGGTTGTTGATAATTCAGTCAACCAATCAGATGACTTAGAATAATACAGAATTCTTTCTGAAATCATTTTTACGGAAAGAATTCTGTATTACTCTTTGAAAATTTAACTTTATACATTTTTTTCGTTTCGCAGAATATCTGTCTCAAACATTTAAACTCGAAAACGAAAATTCATTAATACTAGGTACAGCTGCGCGGTTTTACCGTCTGCACGGCTCGGTTTAGGTTGATGTTTTATAGCCTAATTATATTGTTTGCACTCAGGAACATTATAGCCATAGATTATTGTAGAAGCCACATAGAAACTTACAAATTGTACCTTTTTTAAGATATAAATATTATTAAATATAACTAGAAGTAAAGATTATAGGTAGTAGTACTTGAACTTTATATTTGTTTGACATTTCTAGGTATGGGCGATGTTCGTATGGATGATGAGCCGCAGCAGAACGGAGCGTCAGATGAAGACGATGATTAGATACAATATATATGTCAACTCTATATATAATAATAATAATGGCAGTGCTGTCATGTTACTAAATAATATACACACGTTTTATACACATTACTTGTTTAAATATTAAATATCCCCTTTGCCCAAAAAGTAAGCTATAATTGAGTAGTTTTCTCAGTTTAAAAAGAAATTGTTGCAACTTAAAAAACTATAAAAAATCCTAAAATTAATCAATGTCACTAATTAATTTTACATTGTAGGTAGGTACTTAAAATTCGTATGTTTTAAGATAATTCAAAAAAAAATATCCTAATTGCAGTAAAACAATTATGACGTCACAACGTGCTTTTTTTGTCAGGGGAAAATCATCTAATGACTTCTCCCGCCCAGGGTAAGGCGAGAGAGTTTCAGACTCTTACTGACTGAAAACCCCCCGTTCCTTCACCTACTCTGGGCCGAGGTCGCGGTGACTCATTGCGCTTAACCCGCAACCTCGACTAACATCCTAATTCATACAAAATTTAAATGTATGTGGCGACAAAATTTTCATTTATGCTAGTTTGCAGTGGTGAATGTTCATACATACAATGAATATCAGTAAGATGTTGTATATTTTCTCTTCAAGTCACCAGTCACCATATTTTCAGACTTAAATGAAAGAATTTTGAAACTTACAGGAGGATATCATAAATCTTGAAAATACTATATCTTGTTTGAATCTAATGGGAAATTGATACCAAAACCCATACCCGAGTCATGCTTCCAGAGATTGGAAACTCAACATAGCTATGAATTTGGTTCAAGTTTGAACAAAATAAAACACCAGATAATAAAACAAATAAAATAAAATTTATTTACTTACAACATAAAAAAAAACTAGGTATAACGTATTTACAATGAACATTTAATACAATAGATCTGAAATTTATTTAAAATATAATAATCTAAAAATATAGGTAACATTTCTAATTTAAACGAACATTTTACACCTTTTTGCCATTTATTTTGTTGAGTTTACTTCTGTGAATCTTGTCGAAGAACAAGAGCCCTGCAGCTTTCTCGATCGACTCAGGAGGTACCTGTGATAAAATAAAAAATACATATTATAATAGCTACATTCGCATGGTTCCACCTATCTACTGGTGGCCGTAGTGTTTGTTTTAAGCCCTGTAGCCTTAGCTAATATATATTTGGAAATAAACACTAGAACTTAGTACACAAATACTCATACTATTTTACATATACACACGTCACACTTTATTTATTAATACGGGCCCTAATGTCGATCTTGAAACCCGAGTAACGTTTATTAAACAATACGGTCTCAGGTGATGAAAGAGTCTTAAACCGCATATTAAGTTTTGTTTATTAATATGTCGGAACATCAAACGGGGTCTTAACATCTCACTCTTACGCTGATATCGGTTTATTAATACGGGCCTTAGAACAACAATTTGTGGATCACACAAAGATCCACAAATGTCAGAGTTAAGACTCAGGGTGCTGATATCATCGGATCCGCCCCAACCTCTTGGATTTCAGCTAATATCCCAGCACCTAACCGGGTCGATATAACTCTTCACTAGGGTAACCGCTGTGAGTGTAGACCAGCTGAAGTACTAACTAAACAACTTAATTTTAATTTGTTTTGTAACCTCTACAATTGATATACTACTGAATAACTCGAAGTGTGGATTTTCTTTTTTCTTTATAAGTGCCGAGTCGCTCAGTCGAACATCTGTTGCTGCCGTCCAACATTCCATTGGGGCCACATCGTAAACCGTGCAGTCAAGACTATCCAACCCAAAATAATTGTTGAATTCCACTCAATAATTTCAGAGATTAGCACATTATAACGAAACAAAACCTTCCAAAAAGCGCTGGATTGCTTGTGCGTGTGAGAAGAGGCATTTGCCCTCTGCTGAGCAAAGACCTCGTCCCATACGGAGAACGTTTGAGCATTAATCACCAACGTTTGCTCAGGGCGGATTGGCTATTTTAAATTATAATTACGTCGTTCGTCAGTGGTGTTTAAATAATAATCATAGAAAGTACATATAACTCAGAAAAGGTCACATTGGTACTTTCGAACCGGCACCGTCATGCATGAGAAGCGAGCGCCCTAACCTCCGATCCACCACGACATTACGCTAGGCTTACGCGTGCTCAATTAAAAACTTTTAAAACTCACCATGAAAGCGGAGACAGGTGTTTCATCAGGTATCTTCTGGTTCGGCATGACATAGGCTTCCATGTCTAAGGTACCGTCTCTAGTCTCCCCCACGACGACCTTATAGAAGTGGGTCGGCACGGCCACCGTGTTCGCGCCAATCACTTGATACCGTATGTACGATTTACCGTCCGATTCTCTCCTGGAAATATTTATAGTATGTGTATCATTTTTTTTTTGTTTTTATTAGCCAAGACAAAAAAATCAATTTGTTCTGTGTAAGCCAGAAGTCACAGCATCAACAGTGCAGTCTACAAAATAGAATTACTAAACTGGTTTTATTAGTATAGCAATACTAATATAACCAGTAACTTAAGCAATATCAACTATCGATACTAAACTTGGCTAAAAACGAAAAAGAAAAAAAAATACCATAAAAATTAATTCGATACACACTAACAAGGCTGACGATGGGTTGTTTAGCTCAAATAGTACATCTGTTTATACCATTTTAATTTCTTTAGATAGCTTACCTGGGCAGGTACAGTGGTCCAGTACAGCAGTACACATTGCTGTAGACTTTGGTCAGTTTTCGCACATGTTTCTCTAAGGTGTTCCACGCGTGCCTGTTAAAGCCTTCTCCCACCTGCAAAGAATATGTATCGTAATATGCGATTGGTTAGAATAAATGGATTCACATAGAGTTGCCTGTACGGTCTCTCATTAGTGCAATTGGATCCTTTTCTTTGAGCAGTGAAAACTGGCAAATAAACTTCTCTAGCCTAGGGTATGGCGAGAGGGATATCCAGACTCTTACTGACTAAAAACCCCTCGTTCCTTCTCCTGCTCCAGGCCGAGGCCGCGACTCCTTATTCGCTTGACCCACAACCTTGGCTTGATTGGATTTTAAATTCTATAATTTGTATTATAAAACCGAAAATTCTTTAAAACGTTGATTGAATGATGTGAATTGAATGTTGAATGGGGAAGCCTGATACAAAGCGATGTCTGTACCAGTTACCATGTTAAAAATAAATTTTGTACGTGTTTTTTTTTTATTTCAGTCGGTAAGTTAGTTACGAATATTACCTTGAGTTAGATATATACATTCGATTGTTTCATAGATTTAGATAATTTGAAAAAAGTACTGAGCTTGACTTTGAAGTAAAGTAAGAAAAGGCTTCATACCTGTGGAGCCATATTGGTCAGGAAGAATGTTTGTTCTACATGTTTCTGTGAGAGTCTGTGGTTGCCAGCCGCCGCCATGTGACCACGGTCGAACCCGGAGCCTTTGTAATCAGAGTTCTGAGACCTAAAAGAAATAATGTAGGCATTATTAAGTGGCCATAGTGACTCAAGTAGGATCCAACCCACAGTTTGGTCGAAAATGACCTGAATATGCCAAATTAATCTTTCCAGATAAACAATACACAAATAAAAATATCAATCTAAAAAGTACCACTTTGAAGGTTGAATCCTGTTTACATAACTACATCCAAGTTATAGTTATATGTTATGAAGCATGATTGACGATAACACAAGGAAAAAAGATTTGCATGGTTTCATTTACAAATAACTTTGAAAAGGGAATATTTTCTCAATTTCCATCATGTATTTTCTCAGTCAAGACTTGATGGAATGTTTGTGATATTTTAATACATTCCCCCTTATACTAGACTAAAGATAAACCTTGTTTTGTAAACAAGGTTTATCTTTAGTCCAGGTTTAAACAATTGAGTCGGGTTTTGAATTTTGAATCGTATTGTCATCTACTTTTAATTCGAAATATGAAAACTGGCTCAATGGTTTAGTCCTAGACTAAAGTAAAACCTTGTTTTATAGTAAGTCTGTTTATAAAACTTGACCCTTTGGGTTTGAGACCCTAAGAGCCAAATGAGGAATATTTATTCTGATTTTAGGCTGATCAAAGTATGTTAGTAGATTTGTTGCAATTTAATAGTAATGTTGTGGTGGGCCATTAAATCATAAATTTTTCATAAATGAGGGTACAGGTTTAAAACCTGGCAGGTACAAATATGACTTTTTCTGAATTACATATATAATATTTACTTTCTAAGACTTTTTAGATACCATTGACCAATGATGAAGGAAAACATCATTTCTAGTTAGAAATTGCTTAACTGCCTTGGCGATTTGAAGATTGGGGATGGTGTAGGAGAGGGATTTGGGTCTCTGGTAACCTCAATCACAAGGTGAAATGTAACACATGCATTATTTCACACCCTATCAGGATGAGGTATCATTTTAGTTGAGGAGGTACATTCAGAATGAATCAAGGCTCTCCCACACTTACCTAAAGAATGGATGTATACTCTCATCAGGCTTGAATTCACATTTACTTCTGTCAACCTGGTCATTCTTTGCTATGTGCTCTGCAGTAATATGTTCAAACACCCAGTTTGGTACCCGGTTACGGCGATCATATGACAAGATGAAGTCGTCATAAGATCTAATATTGTCCAGACTAGGGAAACCAAACTTCATTATTTGTGATACCTGCAAATTATAATTATTGCTTTTAGTGATAAAATGTCTGCATAATATTTCCAGGCTTTTGTTTTCTTGATATAAATCTGTTTGTTAATGAAAAATTATAGAAGAATGAATGTAGTTTTAAAATAATTTACCTATGTAAGATATCGGTGAGATGAAATGAATTAATATCTTGATTAAAAAATAATGGCATATCAAAGCATTATTTTGTAGATTATTTATATCTAATTGCATATCTTTTAATTGAAAGTAATCTAATTTTAAGCATTCTGAGCCACACAAATCTTACCCGATCTTTACTGCTTCCAGAATCTGTATAAGGAGTTGCAGCCGACACTGTACCGAAAACAGGGAGCCCAGGCATACTCCGTAATCGTTTTCCATCAATAATAATTGAATCATCATTATTGTAATTACTAAATTTATCTTTATTTTGGCCGATGTAAAATCCGGTCAGTCCAACAGCACTTAGTTGCGCAATTTGTAAAAGTCGGTTACGAATCATCTTGTTTATAGAATGATAATCATTAATTATTGAGATTTAGTACTTTAAAAATATTTATTTAAGTCAATATTTATTAAATTCTTGCTTTTTAAAGCACGTAACTACTTATCATGCAAATTCTAGGTTATGAAAAAATGACATTGACAATATCTTGTTTGATAAGAATATTCAAAACCAAAACAGTTGAATTGCTTTTCTTTTATACGATTTTTAATGAATTACAATTTAATTTATTTATATGAAAGCATTGTGGGAACGATGAATAATTCCAAAAACTAAGCTTTTGAAATATTGTTACAATCAAATTAAATTTTTATCCATAAAAGATAACATCCTTTTTTTGGTAGATTTTACTCTATATCAAACTTCACAAATGCAACACATAATGTCAATGTAGTGACGCGTTCCGAGCCTAAATGTTCACCTATGTAAGCATCATTAACCTTGTGCTATTGCTATCTTTTTTTTAACGTTATTATAAAAGCAAGAAGTTCAATGTCTTGGGTGTTTAATAGGAAGTTTTTGGAATTTGTAATACTGGAACACAAAATAAAAAGGAACGTGAACAAAATTAGATTTAGAAAATATTTTTGTTCAGTTAAATATTATAAATACGTGTGATATAGAAGTAATTATAACGAATGTAACCGCAAGTGGTATTTATTTGAGTACTATTATATTTGCCTAAAGAATTAAACGGCGATAATGACGAAACTATTTTTAAAAACAAACCGGACTATTTCAGCTGTTTTATCAAAATACAAATTTAGCACTGCAGCTAAATCTGTAGCGTCATTGCAAATAAAAGGCAAAGATTTCGTAGCAGACGACTATACAAATGTTACGCCTAAAATACTATCGTACTTAGATAGGAACCTGCACTTGCAGAAAAATAACCCTCTGTCGATAGTGAGGCAAAGGATTGTGAATTATTTTTACTCTTCGTTTACACACAGAGGACACCCAGCATTCAGTGTTTACGACAACTTGTCGCCAATAGTGACTACAAAGCAAAACTTTGAAGATTTGTTGATTCCTTCTGATCATCCGAGTAGGGCGAAGTCTGACTGCTATTATATCAACAGAGACACTCTCCTGAGGGCTCATATGACTGCACACCAAAGTGAGTTACTCAGATCAGGGCTGGACAACTTCCTGATGATTGGAGATGTGTACAGAAGGGATGAAATTGATTCCACACATTTTCCTGTGTTCCATCAGGTAGGCTTTGCCTTGATCTTATAATATCAGACTAAACTCTTAATTTAATTATTAATTAAATAAATTTTTTTTGTTGAGAGACATACTTTATTTCTAATATTTTGTAGTCATAAATAAAACTGTTTTAATAAACAGTAATAGCCATTTGTTTATAAAGACCATAATCTTTATTTCAGGTTGATGCAGTCCGTTCACAACGTAAAGAGGAGTTGTTCCCTGATAAACCAGAATTACAAATATTTGAGCCAACCTTTGATAAAACAAACCCACATGCTAACCACATTAATGATCCCATGAAACAGAGCTGCCACACTTTAGAAGCTACAAAATTAATGGAAACACAATTGAAGTCACACCTCATTGGTCTAACACAAGCTTTATTTGGAGAAGATATCAAGTACCGTTGGGTTGATGCATACTTTCCCTTCACTCACCCATCATGGGAGCTTGAAATATTCTATGAAAATGATTGGATGGAAGTCTTAGGTTGTGGCATAGTAAGAAATGAGATTCTCGTTAACGCAGGACCATCAAACACTATAGCATATGCCTTTGGACTGGGTTTGGAACGACTGGCAATGGCATTATACAAGATTCCAGATATTAGGTTAATGTGGAGTACTGATTCTGGATTTTTGACTCAATTTGAGAATGTTAACTTGAACGCCCCAATCACATACAAGCCTGTATCGTCCTATCCGCAATGTACGAATGACATGTCATTCTGGCTGCCCCCCAACTACACTATTGACACTTTTATGAGCAACGATTTCTATGATCTAGTCAGAGATATTGGTGGTGATATTATTGAACAGGTTTGTAAAATTTTTATTTGTAGTTACACTAGCTTTTTGTCGCATCTTTACCCACAGGACTAGAGTAAAATTAAGCACATACACATAGGCCTTAAATCTATGCCAAATTTCAGTCAGATCTGTTCATTGTTGTTATGTTGAAGATTAACATCCGATCATACTTCCAAACTTTTGCATTTATATTATTTGTAACTTAGGTACCCTGCACATATGGGGTTTTGTTTTTGTATATCTTTCTTTGATTTGATTGGCCAAAGATGAGAACTTCATGCTTTTTATACATAATTATATTATATACAGTTGTGAAATTCTGATATTAAAGTAGTAACAGATGCACTAAAATATCCATTCCGCCAGCAATGGTATGGTCTCTCAAAACTGAATTACCTACTTGCGCTACAAAAATTTTCCGAACGCATATCTATGTATCTATATGCGTTCTATCTATCTATACAGTAACACCAAAAAAGTGCGTTACCGGTATTTGGGGATTAGGGTTTCGGATAATTAGAGGAGCGAAAGGATTTGGCCTTCGGTAACATCACTGACACGGCGAAATTCGAAACAACGGTTTGGTTGTTTCAAACCAGTTTTCTGTCAGGCCGTGGTATCACTCCGGTTCAACTGACCCATTCTTGCCGAAGCATGGAACATTTAATACCTCGTACTTGCAAGTAGCCTCTAAGCGTAACTCGCTCTAAATGGTCTCATGAAACTCTTTACAGCGAGATACGCTTACAATTTATTACCAATTGAATGACAAGCCACATCTGTGTGTCTGACTCCATCTGTTAATTTGTGATTTTCCGCTGTCTCAAATATTTGTGTTTTTTCAGGTGAAACTCAAGGACAAATTCGTCCATCCGAAGTCGAAGAAGCACAGTTTGTGCTATAGTATTGTGTACAGGCATTTAGAACGAACGCTCACACAAGCGGAGGTCAACCAGGTCCACAAGGAGATCGAGAAAGCCGTGGTCGATACTTACGGCGTAGTTATTAGATAAATATTATTTAGCAAATATATAGTATGTTGAATTTGATGTAGCCTTTTTTTATTCTCTAGCAGTCAATCGCAAGGTTGACGCTAGGCTTTTTACGTCGCCCTTTCAATAGCCTTAACACATTCAGTGCCGTGGACATGCCCGGCAAGTTCAACGTAAGGCCGCTATCCCACTAAGCTTTTTACTAGCGTTGACGCCAATTTTGTGTTTATGCAGCGCCGACGCAGTGCTGACGCGACGTTAACGTCGCGTCGTGGCGTGACAAGCTTTAACGCACTGCTTTAACGTCCGTAGGATATCGGTCTAAAATGTACGAGAAATGTAGGCGGCATCCGAGATGTTATTGTGAAAATCGCAGTGGTGACGAAACTGCTATATCAATGCAGTACAAATATCAGAATACACGACTGCACTTATTAGAGCACAAAGCACAGATGGGGTCACATAAGACAACTGCAAACGAGCAGAATCACTCGATAGTTAACATTCCACGCCTATTGACAGTGAGTTTACCGTAGGCCCAATCCTCCCCCCCCCCCTCTATCCTTCCCCAATCCTTAAATATGATAAATCCAATTCCTGATCCAAGGCCGGCAATGAAATCATACATACCTCCGTTGCTGGATGGACACTGCCGCTGTACTTGCTTACCATCAGGTAATCCGAATGCTTGTATTTCTCGAACTATTTCATAAAAAAAGTTACAAGTACGTTGCCAGCCTTTTGGAAGAAGAAGACGACACCACTGGGTTTGTAAAATTAAGAATAAAATACTTTGATAATGTGTTTAAAATTCTTTATTAATTTTAACACTAAGTCACACTTGTTTCACAGTAACCAGCTGGCCTGCCAGTCTGGTTTAAGTCCAGGGATGCTCAATCTTAATATTTAGCTATATCAACGCAGCATAATTTGCTTATCTATTTCACATAGTAGGGGAGCCCATGAACCTATTTCGTTAGTTACTCGAGCGCCATAATATTATTATGAGGAATTTCTAGTAGGTAAGTATATTTTTCAAAATACCTTCTAAATATTGAAAAAAATTAACTATACAGTAACCTGCGTCAGATTAAGGGTTTTTAACAGTCTACATTTCAAATGTTCCGGAATTTCATAGTGGTTTAAAAACATGCCACGTCTGTTAATCTATAACACTAGAACAAAAATTACGCTTAACAATTTATAATTAATAAAAATTAATTTCTAATGGCGTGCAATTGGGGAGGCCTATGTCCAGCAGTGGACGACAACAGGCTGATGATGATGATAATGATGAATTTATATCTCCAAATCTTTAAAATCCAGTTGGTCGCTTAGACGCTTGGGTAACTACAAATTAAGCATCCTGAGCTCTCCTACTATAAACAATCAAATTCAGATCGAAACCTAATATATAGGTAGTAAAAAACAAAGTCGATCATCACATATCTTAAGAGTTAAAAGTCATAATGAGCTATTTAAAAACGAACCTAATATAATAAAATACAACTAAAACATATACCTACATTACTTATAATACACATAATTTCTGCAAATTCTATAAATTTTTTCCTGTTATGGGATGCAATATTGTTACCTACTAGTCTGCTCGGCTAGTTCGGCCGAGCCGGTCAATTGGTGCCTACATGCGTAACCCTCTCACATGAGGAAATAATGGACACAACGAAGGTATATAAATATCTATTTCAAAAAAAAAGTATAATATCGGAATCATTTTTATGTTCATACTTAATACATTCGTTCCGGAATAAATGTAGTCTCCTGTACCAAGTATTATTTTTATTTTTGTAAGCTATAGCGCATTATTAGCTAATTATAAAAACTAATTGTGAAAAAAGCTTACAATTCAAATTCAAATAAAGTAACAATTAGGTAGGTAGGTAGGTACTTACTTATATTGTGATGTACAATAGCGACTTAAATAAGTAACAAACTCTGGTGAGTTTTTGTTGAGTTGGTACTCAATATCTATTATTTAAAAATGTTTACAAAACTGTGACGTTATGTTTTTTTTTGTAACGACTTCTTTAAAATTCGGTATAATTTAAAATTGGAAATAGCAATCTTTAAACAAATACGTATACAGTTATAAGTGTGAATAAACTTATGATTCACAGATTTATTATCCCTAGTAAGTAGCATGGTAGCCAGCCCAAGGCTGGTAAACATACAGGTAAGAAAAGTATATTTCACTGCAGAAATTAGCTATTATCGAATAAAACAAATATTTATGTTACAATTTCTGAACGAATTCAACGTTCATTATCTGACTCAGTATTATTGGTGGACTGTAGGGATATAATAATTATGTTCAGTGGAGAAATATGAGTTTATATAAATTTAATTAAAAAAAGTAATCTTCCCAACACCAAAAACCTACACGAAAGATAAAATCCCACAAATTCCTATCTATAGGACTCTAAGATATCCACGAAACATTTTAAAAACCTTAAATAATATCACAGTTACAATCCACAGATTCAATTACAATGGATTATTTTGTTTTTTTTTTAATTGGAGCTATTAGTCTAACTATTACAATACTGTTATAGTAACATACAGATATACTCTCCGGCAGGAATTATTAATAATTTTAAACAAGATTTTTCGTGGTGAGATAAGTTTAGATATTGTTTAATTTTCTCTTATAAATGTAGGAACAAGAAAAAGAATTTGTGATGTAATGTTAAAGTGAGAAATATCTAACTTAGTCCCAACACGAAAAATCTTGCCATCGTCGGTGCGAAGCTACACAGAGCATATGTACATATTATTCTTAATGTTATAAAATCATAAAATACGTCTATTTAATAAAATATTTACATTTTATTAAATTATTTAAACACATGTTGAGATATAAAACGTCTATACCTGTGTATAGCTATCTATAGAGGTATTAAGACTACAGCCATGTCATGCGCCTACTTACTAATATAACAATACATAACGAGCCACGAAACGATAAAAATTATTATTTACATTACAAAAGGTGAAGTATTTTAAAATGTTCAGTTAATAAATTATTTGACTGTGTCCACAATTAAGCAATGAAATCGCTCCCTATTACGACTGAAAGTTAAAGTTTCTGTAGGTATTCCAAGTACTATTCACAAGATGTAAGGGTGCGTGCGCACGTGTGTATGTGTGGGTGTGTGTGTGCGTGTGTGGCTGGGTGTGTGTGTGTGTGTAGTTGAAATTAAACTGAGTCAAAGATATCTATTTATTCAGTGCAGACACTTAGAATGTTCAAACTCCTAATATACAATTTTCCCTATCGTCATCAGAACTATGGCTTTGGTCTGATTCCGATATATTCTCCTCTGTATCCAAATTATCATCTAGCTTTTCATCCTGCTCGGTTGTTGGCATTTCGGCGACAATTTTTGTCATTTGATTTTCCTTAGATAAGGATTCCTCTTCCTCTTGTCTTTTTAATTTAGCAACTTTAGATAAAGGTTCGTCATCAGAGGAATCGTATAGAGTGGTTACTTCATCTTGCTGAAGTTTATCCGCAGACAGCTCTTGGGTGTCGGCGCCTTTACTCCGCTTCATTGCCTTTTTAGACGAACTTTGAGCAATATTATCTTCATTATCATCACTTAAGTCATACTGCTGTAATTGCTGTTTCCGTTTTTTCTTAATGACCTTGTCACCAGCCGCCTTAATACCTTTGTTTATTTTTTCTTTACTTTTATTATTTGTATTTAAGCGGCGTAAAATAGAAGGTACTGCTACTTTCAACAGTGAAACAGGTTTAACAGGACTATTGGATGCCTCAGTATCTGAAACTAAGCCTTTTTCAGGCGAAAGGTTTGGCTCGGATTGATTCGATTTTCCTTCTTCCGTTAGGTCGATTACCGTCCTTTCAGCAATAACTTTAACTTTTTGTTGTTTTACAGGTGCTTTTAGACAAACGTTAATCGGAACGAGGTACCCGGTATCACAATCTAATTTAAAGAATATCCCTTTATTCGCGCAAGCGTATTTTAGTTCATAGAGGGACGTGACTGGGGAGAGATCGCCAAGTGGTGTCTTTATAAGGGGCTGGCAAGAAATAAGATTAGGTATAGGCCCTAATAAAGTGCCTTGTAATTTTGATGTGCCGACCGGTTGGGGTGACGCACCCAGTTGCGAGAGTAGAGATTGAGATGCCTGGGCTTGCTGAGCGGGTGTAGGCAAGGTTACTGGAGGAGGTGGTGTCACATCGTCATCAAAAATACCCGACATTTCCATCAAATCCGAAAGAATGTTTTTAGTTTTCTTAGGTTGTTGCGTGTTTTGATCAGAATCTGCAATATTTTCTGATGGCGGTTTTTCAATTAGTTGATCAGGCTGGCTTTGCACTTCAGGTGGTTTACTTTCCTGACTGGCATTAGCTTCGGTTTGATTTGGTTGTCCAGGAACCTTTGGCATTTCCTGTGTATCTGTTACACTGTCGGCCTGACTTGAAGAGCTAGGTGCTTGTGCTACCAATACTTCCTGCTCGGCTTTATTTTCATTTCCCAAAGATTGTTCGGACTCAAGTGTAGCTTCTATACTTTCAGGCAGATTTGCATGACAAGGCTTACTTTGATCCTCTGGAAGTTTTAATTCGGATTTTTTTGAATTTGCATCGTCTATTGACAAGGGCTGCAGTTGACACCCAGAAGTAAAGCTGGAGTCAGGGTGTTTTGATTCCTTTTCGATTGATACTTCTCGCGATGGTGATACGTCGGTGTGAACTAATTGTTCTGCTGTTGCGATGGGCATTTCTTCCCGACTCGCCTCTTGTGCGTTGTCTTCAGTACAAGTAGTTTTAGTCAAAACCACATTTTCAATTTCATTTGCATTTCGACTATTATTTATATCAAGTACATTTTTGGTCTTATTTTCGTCTTCATCTTCGTCGTCTACAAGATCAATTACTTCACTTGAATTAACCGTCGGTTGGACATTTTGTTGGAATTGTAATCGATGTTGCTGTAGGGCATTGTTCATGTGCATTTGTACTGTTGCTATAATAGACGGCATCAATGCCAAATCTAAAGCTTTCACGTGATTATTGTCTATGCTGTATGATATTGTCCCATCAGGTAGACATACTAAGCTTACTCCGGCAGGCAACTTCAATGTCGGCGCCAAAGCCTTTTTGGTTTCTTCAAATAATTTCAAATTCCAAGGAAACTTGATAGTAGTCATCAATACTTTATTTTTCCCTAAATATATTGGACTCTTTGCGGGCTTGTCAGAAATATGTTTGCTGTTTAAAAATATCAATTTTTCCTTTAAAAATTTCGGCGGCTTGAATGGTTTATTTGATTTCGTTAACGTTGACCGATTGGGTTTTTTACCACTTGAGTTAATAAATGTTTTCAAAACACCAAATTTTTTTAAATTCGCATCTGTTATTGGTTGTAGCACTGGCTGGGCTTCAATCATTGGACTAACTAATGTATTAACTAACGGTACTGCAATCGTAGGGTTCTTGGCCACTGACACATTTTCTACGAATGGTGTCGTTGCTGGTTCCTTAGAACTAGCGGCAACAGTTACTTCACTTCCCAAGGTTGAGCTTTCCTTAGGAAGATGGATATCAAATTGACCACCACTATCAACTGTAACTGTTGAAACAGATGGCATAATAATATCTGTAGCTGAAACTTTAGTTACCGCGGGACCTGCCTGATTTTGTGCGTCTTTAGGAATGTCTTTAGTAATATTTGCACAAGCGCTAGCCGCTTCCGCACATTGTATTGTTGCCATGTTTTTGTCAGCATTTTGTTGCGCCGCTTTTATCTTCTCGTCTTGCAAAATATAGGAGGACAACAGCTTACGGCAACAACAAACACAATTACCTTCAGGGCAGTCGTGTTCCCGTACGTATTTCTTATCCAAAATCATCTGTAACAATCGTTTTCGACACCAGCAACAGTACAGGCCTTTTCTTTTTTGTCTTTCTTCGTTGACCGGCACCGTCTTGTTTGTCACGTTAACAATTACTCGTTTCTTCCTTGGTTTATATTGACGCGGACCATTTACTGCAGATTTAACATTAATCCGGGGTTTACAGACGACACCCGTTTCAATTTTATTTCCGTCTTGTAATAAATCTTTATCTAATTTCTTCTCAGTACTTTCAACTGTAAATTTCGATTTCTTTTGCGTATCACTCGGTCCCTCTTTATCACCTAGCAAATTCAACATTTTGTTTAGAGTATCCAGAGTTAAAAGTGTGCATTCTTGTTGCTTGCTTATGATATTCGGATCATTCGATTTAGATAACCAAGTTATTGTCGTATAAGATTTAACGGATTTAGGTTTTGGTTTTTGCTGTACAAATGATCTCCAGGAAAAGGATCCGCGGCCACGACCTCTTAGGACACCAGCCCGCCCCCTAATGCTTGGTTCAGGTAGCGAGTTAACTACTTGACACGAAGTATAATTAGATGCTACTGTTTGTACCTCAGTTACGTCCGGAGTAGGGTTGCTTACAGCGGGACTCTGAGGGTCAGAATTTGAGACAAGAGTTACAGGTGCTTTGAACGTTCTATTTTGTATTTGTATTGGTGAAATTTCTGCAATGAGAAGTCGCTGGTTAATGCGACGAATCTCCGATATATCAGGCAGATTAATTCTTGTATTTCTTTCATGTTCTATAGGTTTTGGAGGTGCTTCCGCTTCGCGTATAAGGGGTAAAATATCAGCTGTTTTCGTATTATCAATAAGACTTTGAGCAATCATAGCCGAGGGAACTACGGTAGCGCTTTGAACAATTTCTGAATCATCCGTTATTTCAGTTGTAATGTTAACGTCGCTGATCTCGCTGCGTTTGAGATACAATGTACCCTTAACAAGTTTCGTTTCGAATGCTTTGGAGATGTCTATAGTTAAGGGTTTACAATGTTTGATAAGTGCACGGTTACGATGTGATTTGAAGAATCCTACGGTTAATCGTTTTAGCCGCGTATTGAAATCTGGATTTTTACACAGTTGTATGGGGTTGTAGCTGCGACACCGTGGTTTTTGTAACAAATAGCTGGTTGGTTTGACTCTCATATTTTCCGGTACTACGCTATCGTTGGAATCTTCATCGGTAGACATGTTCTCAATATCATCGTCGGCTGGTTTATTTGGATTATTTTCAATTACATCTTCTGTTTCTTTTTCGCTGATCTTTTCTTTTTTGATTGGTAAATTTGACATTGTGACAGCATCTATTATGTTTTTATTTCGGATCTTATCAAAGGGTGACATACGAAATATTTTTAAATCGTCTAACCTTGTGATGTACACGACGGGAACCATCAGTAGTTTTGGATCTATTTTTGGCTCTTCTGGTTCAGGCTCAGTTTTGATATCTGTAAGAATAATAAGTTCATTATTTTTAATATAAGTATAGTAAACGATGTGTTTTGGAGTGTTTAGTCAAACGACGTTTAGTCAAACGTAGCGTAGGGCGTCCTCCAGCTAGGTGGGCTGACGATATCTATACGGTGGCTGGCAGTGGTTGGATGAGAAGAGCTGAACATCGAGCTCAGTGGTGTGCAATTGGGGAGGCCTATGTCCAGCAGTGGACGAAAACAGGCTGATAATGCAACAAGGTTAGGAAATTCGACTTTAAAGAAATGATTATCCATTTTTGGTTTCAAAAGTCGTGTATTGACAGCTTTCGTCATAAGTAGCGTAAGATATTATAATAAGTCAGTCAGTCAGTCACACCCGGTTTCCGAAAGGCCGATCAATGTTAAAATCAATTTAATCTCTTGTCAAGTCATCTGATTGGTTGACTGAATTACACTGGTCAACAAAATTTCAACTTTGTCGTGCCACATGGACTTTTTTGATATTTTTTACTTTAATTGGTGATTGTAATAAAAAATAAACAGTTAAAAAAAATTTGCTAGACAAAGATTTTATTCTATTGAGTAATTTAAAATATTAAGAAAAAATACGGATCTCGTAAATCAAAAGTTTTTTTTATAAATGACTTAGAAAATCTAAGATTTTCTTGAATATTTAGCTTCTGGTTGGTCCCTTTTAATTGTCCAGCAGTAATCTGCTAACATATTTGGGCTCCATTTGCCCTGGCACCGCTTTTCCATATCAGAAATATCCTGATGGAACCTCTCGCCGTGCTCGTCACTGACAGCCCCTAAATTGTCAGGAAAAAAATCCAGGTGCAATCTAAAAAATGGATCTTAAGTGACATGTTGCAACCTAATGCTTGATATGACAATAACAGCTCGCTAACCAACTCTCTGTAGCTGTCACTCTTGTGGTTACCCAAAAAATTTGCAACAACATTTTTAAAAGACATCCATGCTGATTTTTCTAAATCGCTTAAGTTTTCTTCAAATCTTGAATCTTTTATTAACTCCCTAATTTGAGGGCCAACAAAAATACCCTCTTTTATCTTTGCATCACTTACACTTGAAGTAGACGGTTGTGAATTGTCGTTCTCAACAGACGTAGTTGCAACTGGTATTAGTTCTGGCAATTTTTTACAATGAGATACTGGTCTTATAGCCGAAGATAAATTAGGGTAAATAACTGTGTTTTTTTTCTTGTAATTTATACCTTTTACGTCAATGAGACAAAAATAGCAATCTGAAACGTGATCTCGCTGTTCAGTCCATATCATGGGTACAGCAAACGTCATAGGTCGTGCACCTTTTTTCCAGTCAGTTAATTTTTTCACACACGTTATGCAACAGACATGAGGGGCCCAGGATTTGTCTTGATGGGCGACAGAAAAACCAAAACATTGGTGATAACACTCCATCACAAGATTTGTAGAATTTCGTCGTTGTTTTTTGAATGTAACTTCTCCGCAGACATAACAAAAACAGTTAGGATCATTAATACACTTCCTTGACATGCTCACAGGGTTAATTAATCCCAAAAAAGTGTTCAAATTCAACGATAAATATTTTTATAACGATTAACTTGTAAGCGTTTCTGTTAAGTTACTGCCGTAGTACTAGTTAATGAGTATTACCGTATCACAACAAATAGGAGGCTAATTGACATATGGCAACTGTGATTGACGAAACTAAAACTAAATGTATTAAATTCACAACACCAAATGTTAAACAGGTAAAAACCAGTGTGCTTGTCAAGGGCGAGGAGTTGAGTCCTGTAGATACAACTGTCTTTTTAGGTATAACCCTGGACGCTAAGCTCCAGTGGGGCCCTCATATAGATGGCTTGTCGAAGAAGCTCAGTTCTGCAGCATATGCCGTTAAAAAAATTAGAAATTTAACAGATGTAGATACAGCGCGGTTAGTTTATTTTAGTTATTTCCACAGCATCATGTCATACGGTATTTTGTTGTGGGGGAATGCTGCTGACATTCAGTCTATTTTTGTTCTGCAGAAAAGGGCTATTCGATCAATCTATAATCTTAGTCCGAGGCATTCGCTCAGAGAATTATTTAAGGAAACTAAGATAATGACGGTTGCCTCACAATATATTTATGAAAATGTAATTCACGCTCATAAAAACAAAAGCTTATTTAAGAAGCATAGTGATATACATAATATTAACACGAGGGGGAAAAACAAATATGTTGTCCCTGCCTCCAGGCTTCAGAAAATAACTAGTTCGTTTAGATGTCAATGTATACGCTTTTACAATAAAATTCCTAGCGATATTCAAAATTTGAGCCTCAATAAATTTAAAAGTGTAATAAAGGCTAAACTTTGCTGTAAAGCATTTTATAAAATAAAAGACTACTTAGAGGATAGTCAGGCATGGGAATGAGCCGCTGTAATGTCTGCACAGGTCATGTTGACATGTTTGTAACATAAGTTACACTTTTATATACAATTTGACATTACGTTTATTTTTTATACAATGACATAATCACCTATTGTGACATTTTATTTTTTATTTGACATTTTTTTTTATTTATTTATTGACATTTTTATTATTTTATATTATTGTTAGTGTAAGGACCGTGTGAGACTTGCCGTGCTTTTTGATTAACAGTTATCTGCGTTCTGACAGTTTGAGTACTTGCGCGACCCACCCAAATGTTCTTTAGATCGGTATTGTTCGTCGGACAACTCAGCAGCACTAGCTATACTGGTTGCAAACTGACACTTGCGTGCCTGTCTTCAGAACGGGTCCACTTAAACTGGTGTGGTTCTTTCCTCAAAAGACCACTACAGAATGAACTTGCACGATTCTCTCACATTATGTTATTTTTACATTGTCTGGACTTGAAAAGAGACTGACCTCTGAGTTTGTTTCGGCATTTCTTCTCAGAGTAGTCAGATAGGAAATGCCGGCTTCATCTAGTTTTTCACATATAAATTGACGTGTAAAAGTGCCGTTTTATGCCCTATTTGCAAAAATAAATTCATTGTTTCATTGTTTCATTGATTTAATAATGAGGGTAGATTGATAAAACATAATTAGCTATCAAAGTTCGTGTGGCAAAACCAGTGTTGACCAGTGTTATCAACAACCAATCAGATGACAAGAGATTTAACAGGAGATTAGTTAATTTTAGCGTTGACAAGCCTTTCAGAAACCGGGTGTAGGTCGTTCTAATTGGCACTAGGCGTCCGTTCAACTTGGCAACGTTTGGTATCACAGAACAGAAAATTAAGTAGAAGTGCCCCTACACTCTTTCAAAGGGAAAACCAGTGTCGCCAAAATCACACATTCGCAAATCAAATTGTCCAATACACACTTTGGGTAAAAAGTTGAAACGCAACTTTAGCAAATCATCTTCTAAATGTTGTTAAAAATTGAGTCTTATAACAATGAGCGAAAGTTGTTATCATTTCACATGTCACAATCAATAAAGGCGTCTATCGTGTAAAAAACTTAAATAAAACAATTTACAACGGGTTCAGCCACTCAATGCTAGATGGCGCTGTAACAAATTCATTCTATTCAAAACGCTAAACTGTTTGTAATAGATGTCATATTTGTATGCACTTGTACCAATAGACATTACTATTTTGCTACTCAGATAGGGCAGGGTATCCCAATATATCGATGTTATTTATTGTATTCGTGTGAGCAATATATGTAATTTATCGACACGATATACCTACAAATAATCAGTAATGGAAAAAGGTTCTAATAAAAAAAAAAAGAAAAATATTAACATTTTTTTAAGATTTAATATTTTTTGGAGATGATCAAGTTATTAAAAGCACTACGCGCTCCTACAAGTTTATCTCCTTTCCAACAAAAATATAATTATTAAAATCGGTTCATAAATAACGGAGACGAACGAACAAAAAAAAACAAAAAACATGTACGGTCGAATTGAGAGTCACTCTCCTTTTTGTAACTCTGTTAAAAATCATGTACAACATTATAAAATAAAAATGGTGATTAACCACCCGCACCTACCACAGACAGATGCACGCTGTGTGGTTAAAACGTTGATGTGTCTTTGCAATCTTAGTTAAACATTTATGAATTATACACAAAAATTGTCAAAAATCTATTTTCTGAACGATGATGATGAAAAATTCTCGATACGAACCTAATTTACGAATGTGTCCCATCCCTAAATGAGTAGCGTCGAAACTACTGGAATATATTGTATATAACGTCACATAGCGAACAAGTAGATTTAAACTTAATTGTAATGAAAATAAGGCCCTTTATAGTTTGCATTGAAGTAATGAAATGTGATATTTTCATTAAAATCAAATATATTTAAAATTAACAAAGGTTAACAATACTCAACGATGATACGATACACCACCAAAAGACACATTTTTTTTCTGCTTACTTTTTTGCAGTTGAAAACCGCACAACAAGGCATAATTTCTATTATATATTTCGTGTTTCTTAGAGACAACCATGACAACCGATCATGACAACGGAGCGAACGATTCTGACAGCGAATGTCCCAAAATGTTGTAAATCTATACATCATGTTGATTAGCGCGCGATGTCTGAGTGGCACTTCCACTGTATTTTCTATTCCGTGTTTGGTATATTATATACAGGGTGTAAGGGACAGCGTTCGTTTTTCCAATTCCTATAGCTCTATTTCAATGTATAATTACATTCTCTGTTTGAATAATTACATTAATGTAAATAACATAGCTAAAATAAAAAAATAAAATCCCCTAAAGAACTAAGCATGAAATCAGCTGTGCAATTTCTACCTAGCTGGAGTTTTTTGAACTCAACGCGGCCGCGGCCGCGGAGCCGCGCCGCCGTATATCTACGATCCCTTCCAACGTACAGAATAGCTGCGTGCCTTTCTGACAGATCATAGGCCCCGCCCCGCCTCCGCGTTTGCACGATTTTTGCACAATTTTGTGTTGCCATCTTTAAACTTTTGAGACCTCAATTAGTTAGCGAAAATGTTAGAACTAACTTGATTCATCTTAAACTCAAGAACTCCTTTACATTCATTGATCAAATTATGAAAATCTTGTCACGCACATAATTCGAATAAAAAAAAATGAAGATTAGACTTGTTTTAATTTTAAAGCATTTACAAAAACTACCTAATTTATTAATTGGTTGTTCTTTTCAAGCCATTACTTGCTAGTTTTGAAACCACTTACAGGTTAATTTAACATGGCTTCACAATAACCACTGATTGATAGTCGAAACAAGTTGAACACAAGGTCCCTGGAATGAAAGGACAGCTTTCTATCACAATGCACTTTTATTATTCTTAATTTACTAAGGAATTAAATTGATTTAATCAATTCATTTCTCTACAAAAAAAAAACAAAATGATAACTTTAGATAATTTACGACCATGCATCATTTTTTAAATTTTTTTTCCCCGAAATTGCAAAGTTTTTCGTGTAATTGGCAACAACAGATTTATGTTTGTGACGCATCACATGCAGTCGCCGTTGTGCCTTGCTGCGGAGTAGGTACTGTTTGTATACCGCGAGCGTATGTCGGTACGGATTGCTCGCACATTAGCTTAAAAGTTTTGTTGTAGGTAGTGTTGTTAAGTTTTATTAGGTATAGGAAGTGTAGTAAAGTTTTGTTGTAGAAATTGTGCGAAGTGACTACCTACGTCTAGTGCGCGTTATTATGCGGAGATGATAATGTGCTACGGGGAAGTTCGAGGAGATGCTAGGGAAGCGCTCAGAATTTACGTTGGTAGGTATCCTGACCGTCGGCATCCATCAGACTCCAGGATAATTACTGGTGCCTATCAACGCTTGCTAGAAAACCAGCCCATTGTTCACAGACAAAAAGGCGCCGGAAGACCAATACGCGGATTTTGGAATTGGTTCGCTGACATAATGTAACCTACCAGTGCGTTCCTATTTAAACGTAGTTGCCCTACCTAGGGCTGGACCGCAACCGTGGCCAGCACGATCGCCAGACTTAACCCATTTGGACTTCTTTTTGTGGGGTTACGTAAAAGTAAAATTTGTGTTTGTGAGTGGGTGTGCAAGTGAGTACGAAATGCGAGACTGCGCCACAGCTGCAACGAAGATTCCACCTTGTTGCCCCGCTTACTTGCCTACGCGTTTAAGGTAGGCAATTTTTATTTTATTATCAGTTACCATGTTATGATTGTTACATTTTCTTTTGTACGTAATGCGGCTATCTTTTAAATTATAATTTATTGTTATAAAGCGTGGCGCGAGCGCGGCTGTCCATCCGAAAGGTAAGGTCGCGGCGCTGCCGTTCGCTGCGTGTGTTTTGCGGTGGCAGCGATACATTGCGTGTAAGGTAATGAAATGAATCAGCTTAATTGGATTCCCATAACGTTCCTGAAATAATTTCATGTACCGGTCAACTTAAGACGATATACTCAATTCACCCTATCAGTTTGCGGAAGGCTGTCCCTTACACCATGTGTAATATACCATATGTTCGTGTTATAATTTTCATGAAACATATTAACTTCTCTTTTTCACGCAACTGTTTGACGAGGATCTCGTACTCATGGATGTACCTAGCGTAGCTTGAAATAGTGAGTAAGTTTTAGCATTAGTTTAACATTTGGTACATTTGGTTTCAAATTCAGCAAACAAGCTTTGTTTAGAAACGTTATCTGTGTTCATATGAGATATCGGTTTCCGACTTGACTAGATGGAAATTACCTTGTTTTTTTCTATCAATACTTTTTCCGAAATGTACAAAACGGCATTTTTCAACAAATTGTATATAAAATATCGGTACGATCAAGATAAAAAAAACTGTCAACATTACTCACCAATCTGATCATCGTAGTCTTCGAACGCGATTCCATCATCAACCAACTCAATACCGTCATCAACGAAACTAAATTCATTTGGTATTTCTCCAAATGAGTACTTTAGCGCTTCTACTTTAACATTAGCTTTGCAATCTATATCCTCATTCGTAGTTTTAAAGTCTCCTGTATCCTCTGGCACTGTGTTTTCTGCTATTTCCGTTGCACTATAATCAAGTGCCGTGTCCATAGGTTCCACTATCGCATCGCTGTTTTCGTCTTCAGAATCAGTAATTATAACAGGTTTAGAAATGCTTCCTGTTTCTTCTCCATCTTCTACATTTTTATTTTCATTCTGTACTAAGTTTTCCTCGTGTACAGACTCATTATCAATAATATTATCTCCTTTACTGATTGGAGCCACTAAATCTGCAACTGGTGTTTCTTCAGTGACTATATCGTCTTTATTAATTTGAGTATTTTCTTCAACTAGTTCTGTTACATTATTGTCATTCCCTTTATCTGCATTAGTTAGATCATCTTCATCTATTGTAACTATACCGTCTCTATCTTGAACTGTCACAGTTTTACTGTCAATTTTTACAGTATCAGTCACATTATCATCTTCAACGACATCTTTCGTTTCTTCAACGACATTGTTACCTTCTTTGGCGACATCGAGTTTAGTCACATCTTCTTCAACAGTTTCTATTTCATCGTCAACATCAACTGTACGAGTTTGATTGTCATCTGTGACTGGTTCAACGTCAACTTCATTTGTAACCGTGTCTGTATTATCAAGTTTGGAAGTATCACTGTCAATTCCATCACCTATAGCCAATGTATTTTTATCAGTACCACTGTAGTTATGCAGATTACTTTCACTGACGTTACTAAAAACGCAAGTTATTTGAGGCATCATTGTTTCCTCTTTTTCTTCTAAATCTACTTCTTCTAAATCCTTTTCTTCATCATTGTAATCATCAAAGTATCCGCTATTAAGCATTGCATCAATCACTTGATTCTCTTTAAGCGTTGATTCTAAGACTTCTTGGTATATGGATTTTTTTGGTTCCACTTGTGGTTGGGGTTCTAAGTCAGGATCAGGTGGTTCTTGTTTGACTTTAACTATCCGTGGCAAGGTTTCGTCATTGTTACTTTCGCCTTGTAAAGTCTCATCAGATTCTTGTCTGAGGTCAATTGTTTCTACAACAGGTTCTACTAGCTCTAAGTCCGATGCATCTGTGGATTTTAAATATGCTTATATTAAATAAAAAAAATGAGTAGCGTACAAGACAGTAAGTGTTCGTGTTGGTAAAGAAAATTGCTTGCTTGCTTCGGTACGACAGAGCCGGCCCAACCGAATTGATATCACGGCCTCATAAAAAACAGGCGTGAAACAACTACGTTAAGTTACGCCGTGTGCACCGAAGGATCCCTAAAACCCTTTATACGCCAAAAGGCCGGCAACTTCTGTAGTATTTGGGATATCCATAGACCGGTGGCCATAGCTAACTATCAAGTATTTCGAATAACCGTTTTGTATACCAAAAAATATACAGTATAATATTTTATAATGCGTTTTTTTCAAAGGCATTTCTAGTCAACTATTGGATACAACTATTGCAATGGGAAAATCATCAAATTACTTCTCTCGCCCCTCATATTTTTACTGACTAAAAACCTCCCCGTTCCTCCTCTAGGCCGAGGCCGCGGTATCTTATTGCGCTTGCCCCGCAACCCGGCTGACATACCTAATACATAGGAATTTGTGTAAACTTACCATCATGAGATTGCCTCCTAATGTCCATGGGAGAACCAGCCCTTTCTATCATCTTTCTTTCCTGAAACATAAGGTTTGGAGTTTCGATTGTGTTTTTTTTTATGTTATAGGACAATAGGTTAAAGACACCCGCAACAACAGAGGAATTAGGAGTGAGTTGCCGACCAACTTGGGATTAGGGATTGGGCGAGGGGAAGTATTGGGCCTCCGGTAATCTCACGCACACGACGTAACACAACGCTGTGGTTGTTTCACGCCGGTTTTCTGTGAGGCCGTGGTATCACTCCGGTCGAGTTCACACCTTTTGAAGGATTGTTGGATATGGGGAAGGGGAAGAATGTAGGGAAAGAGTTGGTCTCCAGTAATCTCACATAACAATAATGTATGCTTCGCGTCGTTTTTTCTATGATTAATTGAAATAAATTGGTATGTAGCTATTGGTGATACCTTGGATTAAGACAAAGGCTGCTTATTATCATCAACAACGGGATGCGTAAGCTAGTCATTAAAATAAATTAACTTGTACTTACAAACTCATCAGGCAAAGTAACTAATCTCTGCTCTATCAACTCTGTCCAGCTTAAATGTGGTTTCGTTATCAATTCTTTATATCTGAAACAAAAGTTTTTTTTTTAATCTAACGTATGTTACATACTGCCGTACTTAAAGGTCTTCGTTAACGATTTTGTTCCGGAAACAATTTGATACCTTGACGACTGGCATATACTTTAAAGTTAACTGTGTTACGGGTACAATAATAATAAAGGATAAAAAAAACATTTTAAAATTCATATTCCATTCGTCATCGCGATTGAAAGTCGGACACAGTGAGTGTAGTGTGTACGCGGCTTTATAGTGGACATTTACCAATATCAAGGGTAGATTATAATTGGGTAGTTTCCTAGTTCAAAAATAAATTAATTCGACGTTTTAATACAATAAAATATTTAAAAATAACTAAACTTTTATTCATCGGTCGATCGATAAACTGAATTTTAGATATTTTTTTAGCTATTTTTTAAGAAACAACTATTTGACGCAAAAATCTATGACGTCATAAGTCAGTATTTCATACAAATTTCATAGAAATGTATCGTTTTTGACATTTGGATAAAAGTATTGAATTTGACTAGTTGGAAACTACCGTATTATCTACTTCATCGATGGAGTAGTATCATCGAACAGTCTGCTTGTGATTATGGCAGGTGTAACCTGCGTGTGTTGAATTATGTGTAAAACAGAAATTGTCTGGACGATCAGGTGTTTATGTCTATTATTGTGTTAAAAACCTATGACTCAGAAAACCTTGATTATTGAGTATGCATGATAATTAACATAGGATTTTCAACTTTAAAACACAATAATAAAGCTAAAAATGTTAAAAATATTACACATACCTTCTAGCAATGGCATGTTCCAAAGGTGTTGGTTTATAGGGTTCGGCGACGTGCAACCTCTTTATGCATCCCTTGTATGCATACCAGAAATTGTAGAATTTACTCCTAGTGATTGCTTTCATCTGGTACCAACGCTTCTGCAGCAGCATTGGAGAACATTGGTGGCCACTACACATGGAAAGACCAAGGATTATAATTGGGTAGTTTCCTAGGTCAAAAATAAATTAATTCGACGTTTCAATACAATAAAATATTGAAAAATAACTCTACCTTTATTCATCGATCGATCGATACACAAATATTTTGATATTTATTAACCAATTATTAAGAAATAAGTAAGCTATTTGACGCAAAAATACTATGACGTCATAGCTCAGTTTTTCATACAAATGTCATAGAAAAGTACAGTTTTTGACATTAGCATAAAAGTATTGAATTTGACTAGTTGGAAACTATCGTATTAAAGTACTACTACATAGCATCGAGCCTTTTAACACTTTCATTACCACTACTATTTTCACAATGATATGCCGATAATCGGTAGTCTAGTTAAAGGTCTATTGGCATAGCGGCCTTACGTTGAACTCGCCGGGCGAGACTATAGTTAAGTTTTGAGGTTCAATTTAATGTATTAGGTATTTCAGATATCAAATACAACGTTAAGTTTACTTATTCAAAATATTTTATTTAAAGTCAGACACCCAATTATTTTATATGTAGGTATCGATATTCCACACTCTACCTTTCACCAATAATAAATTTAGAATAGAGATGTTGCACAGGCACTAGCCACAGTACAAAACAATACTATTTTGACGACTGTTTAATAACCACATTAACCTAGAGCTAAACTTACTTCGTGTTATAGTAAAGAGTAGCCGAAGACCACGCCTCCGCCAGTGCCTCGCCCTTTAACCCCTCAATTCCGAACATATTAACCAGATTGAACAGTTCTTCCAAAGGCGCGAAGTTTTCATTTAAATTTAGATCCTGTAACAATTTGTTATACATTTCAAAATTAAATTAAATATAATTTTGCATCTCATCATCATCAAATACTACTGGTGCTAAACCACTGCCTAGGTTGTTTTTTTTTTTGTCGGGGGAAAACGATCAAATTACTTCTCCCGCTCAGGCTGAGGCGAAAAAGAGTTTCAAAATCTTTAATAATTTATTGGCTCATTGAGGCGCGAGCGGAACGCTACGCGTTGTACGCTTGGGTCTGGTTCTGGTCGGACGGCGAGCTGTCCTTACTTGCCGTCTACAGACCCGCGCTTACGGCGGCCGGAGATCAACTCTTGACCCCCGACGCCCGGGGTGTCGCCTACTGAGGCGACTGGGGCATGAGGAAGAGGATAGCTACCTCACGCGGTCTGCTCCTTCTTTGCGAGCATAACTACTTCCCAGAAAGAGGAGACGGCTTCCCAGTCCCTCTCGCTATGCACCATGGCTTCGACTAAGGCCGGTATTTACGGCATAAAAAGAAACTATTTACCTGTCCAATAAAGTCGAGGTCCTGATGGACAAGCACGAGGTCTACCATCAGCCAATCTGTGAGGTTCATTCTGGCTCTTCTTGGCACTCTGTCGACTCGATCTTCTGCTATGAAGTGACGCTCCAGCTTCTTCAATGTCAGTGCTCGCATGCGTGTCCTGGGATACAAAAAATAATAATAAAATAGCAGTAATAATAATTATGATTCAGGTTAAAATAACTTTATAATTAAATATACATTTAAGTATAGAACAAGCCTCCGCCCGCAGCTTCGCCCACGAGGTGTGTTGATAAAAATCAGCCTACATGTTAATCCAGGGTATCAGCTATCTACAAACCAAATTTCAACCAATTCGGTCCACAAGTTTTTACATAAAGAAATAACTACATTCTCTACAACTCACATTTATAGTAGGATTGCAAGATATTTATACCCACCATAGTAGCTCGCAGTTGCAGCCTGTGTCTCTCTTCAAAGTTTTCCATACTTCACTTTCTGGTTTCTTTTCATGCAGTAACAAACGAGCTACAGACTTAATCAGACGTCGGTTAAACCGATCCAATTCAAGCGCAGCCTTATTCCCTTTGAACGAATACCTGTGATCATCTGTAAATAAAGTTAATATTGCAAATAGTGTTTTAATAGTTAAGTTGCCTAAACCTGCGGGCCACCACATAATGCAGGAAAAATTTACTACTGTGCAATGTGTTGTACGTTTGAAATGTGAAATTATTTTTTTAAATTAAAATGTAAATTGTTATCTGCTACTGTTCTTAAACTACCCTGTTCTTTCTCCTGCTTCAGGCCAGGATCCAAAGAACATAATTGCGCTTACAACCTGGCAAACATGGCTGATTCACCCCTATGGATTAAAAAAGGTTGTAATCCAGTTAACCTAACTGGTTCTCCTCTTTTACACAACCTCTCCGATTGGGCAGTTGCCTAGATCAAAAATAAATTAATTCATACAGTTGAAATCATTATAATATTGAAAAATAACTTTACTTTTATTCATCAATCGATAAATACACTCAAGTTATATTTTGTAGCTAATTATTAAGAAATAAGTTAGCTATTTGAAGAAAAAATACTATGATGTCATAACTCACTTTTTCATACAAATTTCATAGAGAAGTACCGTTTTTAACACTTGGATAAAAGTATTGAATTTGACCAGCTGGAAACTACCGTATTGTGCAAGTGCAAGACTGTGTGCCATAGCATAAAACATACAATTGTACCCTTGAGTAGGTACCTCACTGCCAATTAAAAGAGACTGGACAACACAATTAAAATAAATCAGTAGGCTTTATTTGTTTATGCATCATGGGATAGAGAGCTATTGTTAACAGTTAATGTCTGTTTTCCAAACCTTTAGTTCACACAAGATAACTTTTAATTTCTTTCATGTCAATGAACTAAATTTATGTTAGGACATGAAATTCTTATTGCGAAATATCTAAAGAAAAATCTACAAAACACTGTATGAGCTCTATCTGTAGAGGTGTGGTACCACATCATCAAACATCTTTGCATTAAATTAATTTGAAAATTGAGAATTAACTAAATTATACCTAATGTTACACATTATTCACTATGTATTCGTTAATAACACTAAGCGCTGATGATTAAATTCTAATATCTTTTTAAATTCGGTACTTAACTTTCAGAACGAGGTCCATTTCTGCCGATTAGAATTGCTTTTGAAAACGAAGTATGAGAGCAATTAAATAGTTTCGATGGTTTGATAAAATAATGCATACTTCTAAAGTGATTTTCGAATGCTTATGTAAGAAACTTATTATTTCTAATATTATTGGAAGCAAATAAACAAAAGTAAACACATGTTTCAAACTAAAATCTTTACTTCGACTTTGACAGTTGATAACTTGGTCACGTAAGTCAATGTCAGCGCAACTCGCCATCCAATGGAGTCTTTTCCGTTCCGTTATTTCGTTTCGTTCGTAAGCGCTGACAGAAAATAATAAAATAAAAAACGGCAAAAGGGAACGTATTTTTATTTCAAAACAAAACTAATGCTTCGTTCCAGATTCGCCTACCTGATTTTCACGAAGGGCGTTTTAGAAGTTTATCATCAGATGACAACGAATGTAATGGCAAAATAAATTAACAAATTATACAATTTTGTTGTTTTCCAACTTTGGTCTTAGCAGAACGATTGTTAGCGCAATATAATCATCATCAGGCTTTTATTTCCACACTTACGACGAGCAGATGGATCACTTTATCGTAAGCCATCGGCGACCCGAGTGTAATGCTGACCTTGATTGGACAAACTGTGATAAACTGTCCTTCTCTATTTAGAAACACAAACACTAAGATTATTGCCACCATGCTAAACCTGTTGCCCCAATTAGGAAATGGGAGATAAGGGGAGGATTGAATTTCTTATCTCACAATGTGAGAAATACGAGTAAAACGAAAGCTTTGTTTTACGCCTGTTTTTTATGAATGTTTCTTATTTTGAAATATTCTCGGTAATTTTGGTTCGAACATGTTACAAGCTGCGGTCACCTAAAAATCTCCGGGTTACAAAAGGCCGACAATACCATCCGACTGCTATGTATAATGGACGCATACTACGACTTGTAAACATTTGGCACAGCTAGAGGCGGAGCTAGGAAACATGACGTCTGAAAACAGGGCGACAATATCTTAGTCTTGGAGTCCAGGCACCTCATGAATTATCGGGAGGGAGACCAACCAGATCTCTGGGTTTTCGCTAAGCGATCTCTCTCAGACGGCGTTGTTGAAGTCGAAAGTGTGTGTTCAGTGGCAAGGGTAGCGTAGTCAGATATTAACAATAAGATATAGATATTCAGAGATATAAGAAATCTCTGCAAAGTGATGCGGTAAGTGTTGAGTGTATATTATCTATAAGTATGATTTTTTGTGGCGGAAAATCATCGCCCAGACGGACGGGAGAGAGTGTCAGACTCTATACTGACTAAATACCCCCCGTTCCTTCTCCTGATCTAGGCCGAGGCCGCAGTAACTTATTGCGCTTACCCCGTAACCCCGGGTGAGCATCAACACCATAAGTCCCCGTCTGTAAAGTACCTATGACGCGGCAAATATGGTTGGTCATGGTACAGAACCAGTAGTCTGAACCTACTACCACTTCCATCGAAGAGCGAGACTGTAACCGAGATCTTATTTTTCCCAAAATCCTAACTTAATATTATAAATGCGAAAGTAACTCTGTCTGTCTGTCTTTTCTTCGCGCCTAAACTACTGACCCCATTTCTGTCATTGGTACAGACATAGTTTGGATAGTTTTTATACCAAAAATCTGCAGGAAGTCACTATTCGACGCGAACGGAGTCGCAGGCAAAAGCTAGTTATTGAATAATACTTTAGAGGATTTGTTCAACACTCCAATGGAAATGGGATGAGGCACAAATATTAACGGCAAATGTCTCCCAAATTTGAGATTTGCACATGATGTTTTCATCGTGACTAAAACTGTATAGGCCTTACAATATATGTGGTTTTTTTATTGTTAAGTATCTATATTAACAACATATAATTACGCGAGTATTAACGCGAAAACATAATTATTTAAATACCTTGGTAGGCTTGACGTTTCAACCTAGTAAGGTAATATTCAATGAACTTGTTCTTCCGGAGCCGATCTCCCCTCAATGAGTCTCTTTTCGAGGAGGTCTGTCCAGGAGAATGACTTCCTAAGGCGAAAGATATGGTTTGGAAGAATCAATTTCTAGGAGGCTCGTAGAAGGATATAGAATGGCTTGGCACCATATAAGAAACTTAGTCTGTCTTTGACGAGGCACCGACTTCTAACCTGTCAGTAATTCAGTAGGTGGACGATCATTACATTACATGATGTAAATAGGAAGTTTATCATTTTTTTCAACTTTATTTTGTTAAGTTTTACAATAAAATTAAAAGTCTTTTTAAGTGTGGGAGAGTCATGTTTTAGCGCAAATGGGTCGGCTTGACCGAAGAAATACCACGGCTTCACACAACACCGACCGGCATGAAACAACTACATCGTTGTGTTTCGCCGTGTAAGGTTACCGGAGGCACAATCCTTTCCCTCCCCCGAACCCCTCCCCAATCCCTAAATCTCCTAAAAGGTCGGCAACGCACTACTCTGCTGCGGGTGTCGATGGGCGGCGTGATTGCTTACCATCAGGTAATCCGTCTGCTCGTTTGCCGACCTATTACCTACATACAAAAGTAGGTACCTATTTTGATTAAAAATCATTTGTGTCGACTCTTTTTACGACCAGTATCTATTGTACTAATCAATAAAAAGTTATTTTATAATAAGACGAAGGCAATCATGCCTCTAGGTTTGAAAAAGAAAACACATGCTTGGCATCACCTTTACATACAGGTAGAGCAGCTTATTTAATTAATAAAAAAACTTTGTCAAACCAATTAATGTAACGATCGTATACAAAAATGTATGAGAGAAAAGCTAAATACCAAAAAATAAATAAAAATTACGATTTCATATTATAATACTTACCTAAATTATCAAAAAAATGGTTTAAGTTTTAAAGAAATAAATATTAAAATTCCTTCATAACTTTATTATAATAAAAAATTTAAAAGATACTTTAATAAAATTTGAGAGGACACTCAGGTGGAACGATTTTCATCAGTTATATTTTTTTCTTATTATTTAACAAATTTTATTAATTAATAACCTGTACTTACTTACATGCTCAAGAAAAGTAATGGTTACAACGCCGCATCATTCAATGCGAAATAGAAACAGAAAGACAAAACGAAAATAATTGGCTCGCTCTCTATGAAAGAGAGAAAGAGATAGCAATAAATGTCGTTACAACTTTCCGTCTAGCTAGCCCCCTTTCGCAACGCGTGATATGGAACTTCATTCCAATACTTACATGCTAAAGGTCTCCACTAACTTTAAAACTAAAAAGAGGTATTATATGGGGTTTTTTTGAGTCACAAAGAAATAACGCGACCATAAAACTTACGTATACATCTAAAAAAGTATGAAATACGAATAGATATTATAAGTTATAACGTTGAAATACACGGTAATATTCAGACCGTTTATTACGAAACAATTTTGTAAAAACCGCGGTCGATACGAAATATGCAGTAAATCAATAGTTAATAGAAAAATAATTAATGAAAATATCTTACTCTTATTCAATTTTATTAAAGTAGTAAATATTTTCTTGTTTTTATTATTTATTTATTTACAATTTTTTATTCATTCATTCACTATTTCTTTTAAATTTGCCTTAATAATTTCAGTCAGAAAAGCATTTTATTTTATTTTTAAACAGTTCTAGATTTTTGGTTTTGGTTCCATACGTTGCATTAAACACATTTACAAAGTATGCATGCATTTAGCCTTGCCTTATCTTACCCCACTGGGCCCCAACAGCACCGCTCCCTAACCACACGTCATGCAAGCTTGAGCAACTTGCATCAAATGAATAATGAATGTGAAACTTAAAATAAACTAGGAATTTTTAAAATAAATCGCTACACCCCATATGCTGTCAAAATTAAACAAACGATAAATGTGAATAATTTTAATTTACCTATTTTTTTATCCACAGTCAGTGACATATGTTGATGACATTTATTTTGTCTATGTATGAAAAACGACCAAATCTTGGTTCCTAAGTTGCGTGTATTTTTCTCTTGATGCGTTTTCCTAAAACCTTCACAGGTAATAATATACTACTCAAATGCCAAACATAAATTGAAGAAATAATAAATTAAACACAATAACATAAAAAAAGATATTTTACATTTATTTGTATTTTTGTTGTTTGATAATATTTTATTCATTATAAAACAAATAAACCATTTTGTTTTATTTGTGATATACATAGTGAAAAATAAATAAAAACAACAAATCGTGATGATATAAAATAAAATAACATGACAAAAACAAAATGTGTCAAACTCAAAATACTACCAGACTACCACGCAACAGAGACGTCCGCGGAGTTCCAATGTTACGACAAGAATGAATGCAATGAATGATTTTGTAGCATTGGTTAGAAAAAATATTAAAATGTTTATTTACCCATTGAGAACAGGATGCTCGGAACACTATTTTATATCACATTCAACGTTTATTATCACAGTAAAGTATCAAAATAATTTACTTTCACTGTTTACATTTTTATCCACACTTGTGAACACGTCGACGTTTCAGAACAAAATGGCGAAAGCGCCCACCGCGGCCACGACTCTGTTCAATGATTACCGTCCCGCGGCGCTACGTCGATCCGGCTTGGAAACGTACAAGTGTGACAAAAATAGACTATCATGCTATCCTTATTACGCATTCTACGGGATTCGCATCGAGAACACTGCGTAAGCGAGATAACATATTTTCAAACATTCAAGGCATTTTGTTTGTGACTGCCGAACGAGTTGAACGTCCGTACGGTTGCGAGATGGGAACTGTATTGTTACAAAAAGTATAAAATCTGGTGTCATACATAACAAATGATTACCTACTTTCGATCAGTACCTAAAAAAATAAAAGTCATTTTCTGAGACTGCCAATAATTAACAACATTGCTGTTAAATTCCATGAAAATCGATATGGTTGCGTAGGTTATTAAAATACACAGAATTTAAATAGTTTTTACTATGGCTACGCTACGTGTAGTATCCATTTACCTTTATGCACAAATACATGGATATTTATCAGACAGGCAGGTAAATATGTAAGTGGGTATGTACTTACTTAATCTGTGAACAGGTATTTTTGTCGCTCCCTAACTAGTTATTTATTATTTTTCCTCGACTTCAATTGCCTAATTATGGTGAATTATAACGATATTTTTAAAATAAACCCTGTTGTTGCATGGATTGTTTTCACGTTATAGGTACCTACATTATTTATCTGTACTTACCTGTTTACTATTTGTATAGAAAAAAATAAGCAGGTATGCCGGAGGCCTCATTCTCCTCAAATCCCCAAAACAAGCCACCTAAAAATAGCGGGCAAGGCACTTGTAACTCCTTAGGTTTCGCGGGTGTCCGTGGCGGCGCCGATTGCTTACCGTTATCCGGTTTGCTTTTTTGCCGACCTACCTTCAGGTATATCAAATGGTAATGAAATTAACGAAAACCTTTTTGACGTTATTAGGTAAAGTAGGGTAAGTATTTCATAAAAAGGTTTTTATTTTTGATACCTAATTATATAAGTACCTATTCTAAATATTGAACTTGACTGAAAGTTAAACTACCTACTAAGTAAATTAATATCTACATACTTAGTATAAAACAAAGTCGCTTTTTATGGGAAATAGGAACAGAAAAAGCATACTTACCTATACTTAAATCTTTAAAATCACGAAACGGATTTTGATGCGGTTTTTTTAATGGATAGACTGATTGAAGAGGAAGGATTGTATGTAAATAGATAACATACATTAAATAATGGGGTAATTTGGTATCAGCATTGCACCCGTGTGACGCCGGGGCGGGTCGCTAGTAACAAAGCAGGTCAGGTGCAGCGTTTTAACTGGGATGCCGTCTCCTCCTTCTGTGAAGCAGTTATGCTCGCAACGAGGGAGGCGGACCGCGTGAGGAAGCAATCCTCCTCCTAAGGCCCAACCGCCGCAGCAGGCGACACTCCGAGCGTCGGGGATCAAGAGACGATCTCCGGCTGCGGGACCGCAGAGCGCGGGTCCGCGGGCCTGCGGACGGCGAGTAAGAGCTCGCCGCCCGACCAGATAGAACCAGACCCGAGCGTACGGCGCGTAGGTAGCGTTCCGCGCGCGCCTAAAAGAGCTAATAGACCACCACAGACGGTGTGATTTTGTGATTTTTGTGTTTGTGATTCGGCATTTAGGTCTGGCGATTGCGGTAGCCACATTATTGGTCCTAAACGCCCTATCTTACCTAGGTGGTTTGGAAATTATCACTCCTGAAGTCCGTGGCTGCGAAACGATGGCTGTCCCGCTTACTCCCACAGTAGGTACGAGGGCAATTCAATACGTCGTATGCTATCTTTTTATTTGAGCTTCATTGGTGACTAGAATCACGCGCGGCTCCGCTCGCGTTTAAAAGTTATGTAGGTATTCCAGGAGATTAAAAACAGCAGCATTTAAAGAGGTAACTCGTCTAAAATACGCAAATCAAGTACCTACCAATACTTTGCAGCCTATTGCACTCAGGAATATTGTAGGTAGCTATCAATTAGTGAAAGAGTTTTCCTACCCGCATCCTCTATCCTCAAATCTCCTATCCGTAGGTATAATCCCTAACAACCTCCGGCGGCGCCGATTGCTTAACGTAGGGTAATCCGTCTGCTCGTTTGCAGACCTATGACATAAAAAGCCTACCCAAATAATCGATTTTCAATAAACAATGCATAAGCTTACAGCCTTTTTAGTAAGAAAATGATCAAAATAACTTCTCCCGCGCAGTGTGTAGCGAAAGGGAGTGACAGGCTCTTACTAATTACTGCACTTGTAACCTTGGCAGGGCATCGGCCTCACTAAGCACTGACCTGTGCAGGTTTTGACGGCGTCTAGGCGCGAATCAAGGAACAGGAACACGGGTTATCAATAAAATTAATTGGTTAATTAAAACCCTATTAGGTACAATGGTTTGAACTCAGTCTCAGAACAGAATGAATGTTAAATGAACGTGTTAGTAAAATTAGCTATTGCAAGGTGTCATTAGCCTATTGCACAAAAGTTATAATGTTACCCAAGTAAAATGTAGGTATTCTGGAACATTCTACTCACACTAATCTATCTATTGAAATGCTGACTCAAATACATTGGTTTGTTGCTGGACTGACTTAGTGCTGACAAAGCATATACCTACCTATCTTCAGGGTGATAACTCCTAACTCGCGTTTAGAACGTGCTGCGCGCCTGTTCATACACCTACGCACGCTTACTTAGGGTGGCCCGACGCCTGAAACGTCTCCTGCAGCGGCAGGAACGCGAAGAAAATCGTAACCCCAGTGCTCCACTTCCTCCTGAGGTAGCATTAGAGTTCCACTCGCTCCGCGCCATGGCTTAACCAAGGCTGGGTGCGGGAGGTCGCCGCCGCCGCTTCGAAAGCAGGGCACACTTCCACGGAATGGTTCACCATATTCTTCGACTTCCGCACCTAGTGTCTCTTGCCACTCCTCAGAGCGGACTTACCCCTGCTATAATGTTCCTCCAACTCCTTAGGTACGTTGACCTGTCGCCTCCCTGCTTGAGTCTCTAAATATTGCATCAAATAAAATGTTTATCATAGAGTAATCTAAACAAATATTATAAAGAGATGTAAGTTTGTATAAGGGTGGTAAACTTGTGTTGTGATGGAAGCGCTGACCGGATTTAAAAAAAAAAATTACCTACTTGATTTGCGTATTTTAGTCGAAATACAGGTTTACGCGTTGCTGTTCTTTTTTAAAATACCTCACTTCTATACGCCTGCTATGCCGCGGGAAAAAACTAGTTCTATATCTATACAAACCAGCCTAACGTAAATATTATGCGATTCAATTGTATGCACATGAAGTACTGGGTGTAGTTATATTGCTATCTCATTCACACTAATCAATAGTGATGAATGAAAAGTGCGCTGCATATTCGCTTGCTGTACTCTTATTACTAGCTACTTACATTCACTGTTTTACATTTGTAGGATTTGAGATTTGGCAAAGTTTACAGCTGTAGTACCATTATATGTTATCCTGAATAATAATAATGTGTGTAAAGTGTTTGTGTAAGATTGGATGTCTTATAGAATCAATTGGGAAAATAAACACCAAATTCAGGAGAAAATTATATTTCCAAATACATCACTGTAGCAACTTAAATATACATTTATAATGACTAGAAAGACGACAAAACCAATGAATAAAAATAAGCTTAAAATCTAAAACCTGTGGGAATGTCATAATACTGAGATACATAGCAATCAGTTTCAAACCATCCAGTCTATCTTTACTCCCTGTATTCATGTTGTTATCACTTACCAGTTATATTCAGCCTCCCTCACAAAATCCAGGTGTTCAATCTTCTTTAAACCATAGAGGTATAATAAACTTTAATAGACAAAAATCCGTAACAATAACTCCAAACAGCTTAGCTGCCATACCAATGGTATACCTAACAAGTGCACCCATCACAATCTATATAAATACATACATTTATAAAAAGCAGATCTTAATAACATTTCTACTGGAGATTACCGCTCCAAAAAGGTTGAATAGTTAAATATTGATATTGACATTTTGGTTAAATAATACTGGTGGGTAATGACACGACAATTGATGATCTAACTATCAATCTGCATGTGGTACAGATCTTTTGTATCAATTTCTGTAACAAAAAAAAAAAATACAATTGAAAATTAACATCAACTTAACAGTCTACCAGTTTCTTGTTGGACCTCCTGTACACATAATAATGAGGGAATATAATAGTTTGCAACTATGGTCTATGGGTGTAGGTAATTATCTAAGTGTAGAAAATTGTGGCATGTCTATGTTTACAATTAGATATTGACCTAAATTGATTTAAATAATCATTGTATGTATTTTACATACCAACATAGTTTAACTTTAGTTAAAGACCTAAACAGACAGACCCATATTGAATTTAATTCTTTTATGAAGATGTGAAAAACTATACATTTCAATTATTTTTATATGACAACATTGTCACAAGTTTATAGTTGGCAGGCAATGCCTAAATCAGAGAAGAGCTATGACCCAGTCTCTATCAAATAAGAACTACCTTATTAATCACACAAAAGTGAAAACAAATGAATTCTAAATTTGAAATTAAAACTTATTCTGCCTTATTACATATCAAGGTTTTACTTTAGTCTAGGACTAAACCATTGAACCAGTTTTCATATTTCGAATTGAAGTTAGATGACAATAAGATTCAAAATTCAAAACCCGACTCAATGGTTTAAACCTGGACTAAAGATAAACCTTGTTTTGTAATATGAGGGATTAAGTTGTTCAGTAATAGAACTTACCCGGCTCCTCTATGCCATTCTTTTTGTCAATGGCCTTCTGCAGGGTGGCTATGCAGGAAGCTAAGTTGTTTACTCCCATCATGAGGTCCCAAGCCTGCACAAAGCTATGGTCGAACTCTAGAAAGACATATTTGTAGTTCACACTCATGGTTATAAGAAGAGGTACATAAATGTGGTTATTTGAGCCTGTTGTCCCACCTTAATATACATATTACTCAAAAGTCAAAATCATTTATTCCAACTAAACCACAAACAGGTACTTTTGACCCATTAAAACAGCATAGCAGCCCATCAGTATTTTTGTCAGTGAACCTAAGTGCTTGGCCCTAAGTGTAGATTCATATGCAATTCCTTTGTCCTAGTTAGACATGTTTACAAAAATACATTTAAACATACACATCACACCACAAATTTAAATTGTTTCTATGAAGTTCCATATTGCATGTCTCTTATTATTTAAAAATTACAAAAAGGTCCTATACGTGTTTTAGGATCACGTAAAACTTTTGCATGCTTATCATACACAAACAATAAATAAGTGAAAAATAATTATTACTTAATATTTATTTACTCACTGTCATGGATGAGATATTCGTAATAGTTGCTCGACAGAGCCGGGGTCAACTTAGTCATTTTATAGGGCCCAGTATACTGGGGCTCCTTTTCCTTTACAGTCATTATGATAGCAATCTTGCCGGTTTAATTTAAACTGTTTATTTAACAAAATCTCGGATATATATCCAAGTCGCAATTATCAGAATTTCGCAAACACCCGCAAACAATGTAGGTAGCAGAAACTGACATAAGTTCGTGTCTGTGTTACCAGTAGTAGTAGTGCAATTTGTTTGTATTGATTTTTACGTTCAGTTTTACGTGAAGTTTCACGTTATATTTTATGTTGCCATTATTTAATTGTGATTGGTGTAACAGGTACCTACAAAGGGGTACACAATATACCTATAATATGGTTATATCGTCATTGAGTACCTACCATCATACATAGCCGTTATTTTTACTCTTAATGAAGCATTATTGGGTATTTCAAGAGTATTGTATATTTAATTTAGGATTAACACTTGCCATATCACTGCGATAACAGCAAACAACATTAAAATTATTCAGCCTTTCACTAACGGTGATTTTGAATGATGAAATTGTAAAGATGTGTTTAATCATTATTAATTTTATATGAGCCGGCTCGACGGCAGTGATGCTACGGCCTTACACACACTTAATTTTTTTTTAAGGGACAATCGAGCTACAGCTTTCCTAAACCGCTGCAACTCCTCTAAGCAAGGATCTACAGTAAATACAACCATGAAAACACCTGAACACTGAAGACCGGCGCGTCCCAGGGACATGAATTCCGCAACTGTCTTAGATCCCACAACGAAATAAATCAGAAGATATTATTTGAGAAGAACAAAATACTAAATAGTTTCTACTTCCCTCTTTAAATTTAATGAAGAAGACAGAATGACTTAAGCCTTAAAGTTACAGAAAAGACTGTTTAACTGGGAGAAGCTCAGTCACCAAACGCCACGGAAAATGTTGTATTGTAATTGTAACAGGGCCAATGTGTGAGCTTCTATACACACTAAACATTTATATTTATAAAGATGGAAAAGTAGGTATTTAGTAGATAACCGTGTGGTTGTTGGCCCACTCAATCACGGGACCGCCTGAAGCGTCGCGCAACAACAAATTAGGCATGAGACGTCTATTTGTCTGCGGGTTTGCTCTGTTTTTGTAATATTATGGAGGTAATAAATTAAACAAACAAACTCATTTTATACTCTCTTTAGTTTTAATAAAGTTTCATTTTGATTCAAAACTAGATCCATACACTGATCGGTTATGTTTTCCTATCCTCGAATCAACTTATCTTCAGTGCTGTTTATTACAATCTGATTAATAAGTAGAGACATTATGATTTTTATCACGCCTTCTACATCGCCTACTGTATACAGGTTTTAAGGTCCCTTTCCGCCGTTTAGATAATAAATCTCAGGATTGAGTCCGGGGTAGCTGTAAGTCGCGAAGGTGATGTCGTAAGCTCATCGCTAACTGATAGCTTCGTAAACTTGCTGTAGCACTTAGTTCCTCATTTATTGATACTATATCTTTATTTTCACCAGATGTCTCGGGCGTTTGTTTGTCTTCAGCAGTATTATCATGCAAAGAGAAATTTTGAATGGCTTTAAAACACATATCCAAAATTAGTAGTTCTTTTGTAGTTAAATTATTAATATCAATGCCTTGAATAACAACCGAATACGGAGAATGTGATGTGTTAATAATAAAATGTACAACTTTTTCTAAATCATGTGTACAGTCGTCGCGTGGTGGTCGTTTTTTTTCCATAACTAACTTGATGATTTCTCGGAGAGAAGCTTCGTTTTTGTGATGCAGTACATATTCAAATGCTGATAGAGAAATAGGAAACGAGACTATATGATTGTTTTTCCTTGAATTTGGCTCAAATTTGCCATATCTTTCATTTTCGAGAATAGGTTTGCTTACATTGACGAGATTGGATCCGCTTACATTGACGAGATAGGTTCTGCTCACATCGCCTGGATTAGGCCTGCATACATCTCCAGAATTAGGCCTGCTTGTTTCAACAGGAATAGGACTACTTCCATCAACAGGATTGGGAATGCTTGCAACAACAGGTTTAGGTCTGCTTGTATTAACGGGGTTTGGCCTACTTTCATCTGGACATTTGAGCCTGCTTACTTTGTAAGATCTAGCCCTACTTTTACTTAGTTTGGGTTTGACCACGTCTTTTGTTAAATATAGATGATGGTATTTGTTCAATTGGTCAGTATATCCCACTGGGTTATCAAAATGCGACAATTTCAATTTTTGATTTTTTTTAGGTTTACAACAGCAATTACAGTTCGTAATAACACAAAGATGGGGTCGTCTCATGAAATTAATTGCACTTTTAGACCATTCATCCTTTAAGAAACGGGCAGCACGCTCTTCCTGTGCATACCAACAACATAAATTCCTCAATAATTTGTTTTTTGAATTCATATCAATGATCTTTGAATTAATAGACGATACTTCATTCTTCACTGTACAAGTGATGTTTGAAGTACTAAGATTTATGTTACTACGAGTGAAAGATTTTACTATTGTACTATTTCCTAAGTCGGTTCTTTCTGTCATTTTATTGTACCAATCGCGGGGTTTATCCGACGTGGTTATTTTGTTTATTTCATTGCCTTCATCTGCAATTACTAATTTATCCGAACAGCAACAAAGACAATTGTTAATGGCACATTTATGTTGTTTACTCATAAAGTTAAGAGACTTATGACAACTCAAACCGCAGTGTAATCGTAGATAGTCTCCTATCCACTCGTTTCTTGCATACCAGCAACAACAATTCTTTATAAAAACATTTTGATGAGCTCTCGCTAAATCTTGAAGCACAGTTTTATATTGTTTTATGTTATGAAGTTTGACATATTCCTTCGTGGACAGTGATAAATCTAGAAAATAAATATCTATTTCGTCATTTTGCTGATCATTCAGAATGATTATTTTATGCTTAGCATTCATTCTGAAAAAAGGTATAATTGTATTGTATTGTGTGCCCTTACAATATTTTGAAATTTCGTTAATTTTAATTTTTTCAACCACAATTTTCACAGGTTTGCATAAAGATAGAAGATTTTCATTAGAACGATGTACACGAGCTTTTTTATTTATAAAATTTATACGTAACGATAAATCTAAATATGCTGAGATCCGCTCAATTGGTTCCACAGTGTGACTTCTTCGCCGTTTTCTGTTTATATTCGGTTTGCTTTCTTTATTGATGGCATCAAATACCGTAACGACGTCCCTGGTGCTCCTTACTTTACTAAAAATGTGCATTTCGTCCAATCTCGTTGTATACACAATTGGATTTAATATTTTCAACCATTCTTCGTGATCGATCTTCACCGTTGCCTGTAACAAAAAAAGGAAAGATATACTGTATATTTGATTTCCATTGTAGCTTGGAACAGGAACAAAAAAAGCACACAAACAGAAGAGCACACGAACACACACACACACACACACGCACACAATAATTATAGCTACATACATATTACGTTTTCGCATAAACGAAAAGTACGTTACGCTAAGTAAGTAAGTACTAATGTAACGTAGGCAAATACTTGTACAGTAGTACCAACTTATCTGTAAAATAGAGATAATGGGAACTACGGTACGGCCGCCATGTTGAAATGTCATTTGATTGACAGTCTTGTCTACTCCATTTGGCAACTACCTATGTGATTTCTGTTGCGATATTCCTACATTTTCAGCTATAATATTCCGAAAGTAATTAAAAGTGATGCACGAAGCATTATTCTTAACGTCAAAACCTTTTTTTGAAGGCGAAGCCCGGGTGGAGGTTCCGATTACTCAGGTTAGTGTAGTCTAGTGTGTTTTTGTAAATTAACCGATATTTTTTCATTGATTACTTTTTATTGTGAGCTTGGTTACTCATAGTTACATTTACCATTTACAGTATGTAAATACTTCAATAATTTTGTTTATATTTCAGGTGTGAGTCAAGGGCTAATTTCAAGAAAGACTTGCTGCAGAAGAAGTTGCTATAAAAATTCTAACCCCAGGAAAGGAGAGGAAACGTCATAGTGGGTTTATTAGACAGTCTTAGAGTCGAAGAGATAAAAAAAATTGATTCCCCGTTGAACATTATTTCTATATATTTTTAAATTAAAATAATAATAATTTAACTTTTTTGCAAACTGTTCTCTATTTATGTGTCTATCGGTTTAGATGGATAAGTAATGTTAACAATCTTATAATTATAAGGTATCTTTTTTATATTAAAGAGGACGTATAAAATACCGGGTTTAAGTTCAAATATTATTTAAATTTAGCTTACCTATAGCTAACATGGATTTAGGTAAATACCTGATTATAAACTTTTTTACATACAATTTTTAGATAATATGACACGCCAAGACTGTTACTAAATTTAGTTGATTAACTAACTAACTAACCGTTAATTTCTTAAGTTTAGTTAGGTAATTACTCAACTAAGTACGTGCCCAGTACCACTAGACCGACCGGCGCACCAACCGCGCTGTGCGCCGCGCACCTTGAGTAACGGAACGTACTTATAAAATAATAATAACAATATAAGGCTATGTTTACGTACCATTCTATCCATGTTTAATCTTTGGTAACACTTTTAACTATTAATCACTACAAAGACGTCACAGTCATTGAAAATGATATTACCACGTTACACTATCGTTTTACGAGAAATAACTAAATGAAAAAAACTTAAAGCGATCGCGATTGTTTGTGTTTGAGGTCCAACTGACATTACTTATAGTAATCTGTGTCCGACTGAGTGTACGCGCCGCTCTGCGCAGCTGGCTGGCACTGTATGCATGTCAGCTGGCGGCGCGCGACCTACGCGGGTGCCAGTTGGAGGGATGGGGGGGGACTGCCACGAAACGCGCGCCGATGCTTGCGGGGAGCGGGGAGGTGCCCTCGCCCCGCAACCCGCGATATAGCGAATGGTCTGCTGCCTGCTGCTGATATTATGGTTATTACAGAGTTTCTAGTTCGAGTTTTCGCGCCATTTTATATTGTTTACTTACTATTGTAGTACTTACCGACTCATTTTGTGTTTAATAATGGTTTCATAATTTAATATTGTGCGCTCGCAATAAAGTAAGGTATATTTTTTATATTATAAATAAGTACCATAAGTATACCTATTTACAAACAAAAACATATATTTTT